GAGATTGCATTAAGACACTAATCTTGTCAACCTCATCAGTATAACCTCATCACAGTGATAGAATTTACAACACATTAGGAGATCACATATAATCTCATCATAGTGATAAGAGTTTACAACACATAAGGAAATCACATCAGATAACACACTCATACAATACTGGGAATCATGACCTAGCCAAGTTGCTACACACATTTTTGGGGGGACACAATTCAATCTATGACACGTCTTTTCTTAAAAAAAAAAATTAAACTCTGTGACCACCATAACTGGATATGAATGTTGCCCTTTTTTGCCTGGTAACAGTCTCAAAAATGATGCTTTTTTTAATCTCAATGCTAGCCTAAAACGTTCTCTTTCAGAGTTCTAAGACTGTGACTGTTTAGCTTGTGTAAAGGAACACTTCAAGAATTCTTCCCAAAATATATATTAACAAACACCTTTAGATAAGATGATGCCTTTTACTGACATAACTCGATTAAAACACAATTACTAGAGTTAAAAATAGCATAACTGTTTGGAGGCCTTCTGGAGCTGCTTTTTGTTGTTACTATAATTCATGAATCATTCTTATTCTTCTCTCTAAATCATACTACCTTTTGCAGCGTGTCCTGAATGTCAGTGCCTCTTAGGATAGTTCCTTTCCAGTTACCTAAGAGCCAACTTGTTTTGAGTGTTTTTTTTGTGTGTGTGTGTGCCAACACTATACAAAATATTTTATATCCATTATCTCATTTAATCCTCAAAAAACCTCTAAGGTAGATACTGTTAGCTCTCTTTTATAGATAAGGAAACTGGGGTTTAGAGAAGTGAAATAACTTTCCCTAAGCCTCTCATCACTCTGTCCCTTTTACCTCTTACCCGTTTTTCTTTATAGTACTTATCACCTCCTGACATATTTTATGTTTATTTCCTTATTTTTTTGTCATCTTCCTCCACCCCCAACTAGAATGGAAGGCCTGTGAGAGGGTCTTTGTTTTGTTCATTGCAGTATTCTCCAGAATCTAGAAGAACAGTGTACCTGGCACATAGTAGATACTCAACTGATATTTTTTGGGTGAATGGATGGATGAACCCAGCTCTGACCTATCTAAATCCTCTTTCCGCCTTTACTCCTTTCCACACAGAAGCCTAACACCACTGTGTGGGTAAGACCATTCCAGATGACTGGACAACAAACCTCATTCGGACCTTAGACTTGACCTGTGATAAAGGGTCTTGTGCTTGAAAATTAAGCACTGCCCCTCTCCTTAGCTGCCCCTACCATTACATACCGCTTATTAAATGGAATTTCCTTCACCCATCTTTAAAAAAATAAGTGATTAAAAGTAATCATCTATTACTGTGGTTAATTAATGTATTTGGTATAGTGCAAAGAGCAGTAAGTTATAGTCTCAGCTCTACCAATTATAGATTAATTAGATAAAAACCATCTTGTACCTTGCATGACTCTTCACTCTCCTGGGTTTCTTCCTACTTCCCTCTCTGACACCTCCCTCTTTTTTCCTTTATTTTCTCTATGATCACTTTTTTTCTTGGTCCTTTCCCCATATTTCTCTTATCATCTCTCTTCTCAGTCTTTTATTTCCTGGGCCATCATTGCCCTAATTATTATATCTGTGCAGATGACTGCTAATTCTGTATCTTTAAAACTGCCTTCCAGGCTTTGAAATTTTTAACTCCAGTTGCCTGTTGATAAAAGTCCAACAACACATTTTGCAGACATTCAAATTCATGACGTGTATAACTCATCCCAGTATCTCCCCACCTCTCTTCCTAATATGAAAGGAATTTGCCTTTTACAAATACAGTCATGTCCTGCATAACATCCATTCGGGCAACGTCCGACTACATATATGTCCATGGTCCCATAAAATTTTTTTTAAAGGGAAAACAGCTCTCCTTTTGTTTATTATTTCCCCCTAATGGTTTTAAAAAGGGCCCTGGTGGTGTAGTGGTTAAAGCACTCAACTGCCAACCATATCCACCAGCCACTCCAGGACAGAAAGATGTGGCAATTTGCTTCCATAAAGGTTTATATATAGCCTTGGAAGCTCTATAGGGTTGCGATGAGTTGGGATTGAGTTAGCAGTAGGTTTTTTTTGGTTAATGGTTTTAAGAGCAGACTCTTGCAGCACTGGACCACAGGTGGAATACATGTGGGTGAGGCAGACGACATGGCTCTGGTGGGGCTCTTCGGCTTTGTCTGGAGGGTAGACAGGCAGAGGAGGGGTGGGAGACATATGTAAGTTGGATGTTCGTAACCTGAGGGGTTGTGGAGAAACTGGAACCCACATCCAATGCTGGTGGGAACGTAGAATGGTATAACCACTGTGGAAAACAGCTTGGCGGTTTCTCAAAAAGTTGAACATGGAACTACCGTATGACCTACCAATCCCAATCCTAGGTATCCCAGAAGAAATGAAGGCAGGAAAGCAAACAGAAACTTGTACACCAATGTTCTTTGCAGCACTTTTTGCAAAAGCCAAAAGGTGGAAACAACCAACGTGTATATCAACAGATGAATGGATAAACAAAATGTGGTACACAATGGAATATACTTAGTCGTAAAGAGAAATGAAGTCCTGATACATGCCACAATGTGGATGAACCTTGAAAACATCATGCTGAATGAAATAAGTCCATCACAAAAGGACAAATACTGTGTGATCTCACTTATATCAAATAAGTAAATACATAGAAACCAAAACTTATTCGTGGTTACCAGGAGTGGGAGGGAGCGGGAAAGAGGGCATTTTTGCTTAGGGAGCATTGAGGTTATGTTATTGGTGGTGGAATGATTTGGAAAAGGATAGCAACAGTGGTTGCTGAACTTGAAAAATGTAATCAGTGATACTGAATTGTACATATCGAAATTGTTGAGATGGCTTATGTTTTGTTATGTATATTTTCACCACAATAAATTTTTTAAAAAACACTGGTGATGTACTTGTTAAACTGAATGAGTTTCTTCTTTTTGCAGGTGGTAAAGCAGTGCCACTCTTCACTTCGCAGGCACCACCTGCTAAGATGTCCGTAACGCTGCCCTCAGTGAACCTGGAGGACTGCTCTCCGACTCTGAGCGTCAGTACAGTTCAGGGTGACACGGACTCCTCAGGAGCAGATACCTTCTGAATGGGAACGGAGTGCAAACACAATATTTATACCACTGGTTTTGAGGTCATTTTACTCAGGCATAAAACCACTTCTTAGACTATATTGATCTTTGAGCATATTCTCAAAAACCGTCTCTAATTTTTTAATTAAAATGAAAGGCATGTCTTGTGTATGTAGGTAAAATTTTAAAATAAAGCCATTTAAATGTAAGTCATCATGGGTCTGGCTGTTTCTTAAAAGCAGAGAATGGTGGTAAGGACATAACTTTTAGCATCTAATATTGATCCTACAAATACAACTTTTGTATGTACTTACGAAATTATGTAGCTCAAAGTTATTCATTCCAGCATTGTTTATAACAGCAAAATAACTGGAAGCAACCTAGTGCCTATCGATAAGGGACTGACTCAGTAAGTGATCCATAGAGCGGAATACTATGTGGTACAAAAAGGATAAAAAAGCTTAGATGCTGATATGGAGTTATCTCCTAGATATATTGTTAGAGTGAAAAAAGCCACGTGCAAAATAGTGCGTGAGTTATGCTACCATAGCTTAAAAAGGAGTGGGAAGGAATCCAGATACATGGTGTATATACACACACACACGCTTAGATACATATATTTGCTTGTATATGCATAAAATATCTCTGAGAGAAGAAACAAGAAACTACTAACTTTGATTGTCTCTTGGGAGGGGAACTGAGTGGCTAGGTGATAGGAGTGACTAAGTGATGGGAATCAAGAATGACTGTAGTTACTGTGTGTTTAATCTTCAGATGTGACAGGAAAAAATTATGAGGTTAATTTTTTTATATACTTTTGTGAAACTTGTGGCTATATTACCCTTCAGAACATAAATGCATAAAATTAAGAGGAAAAAAAGCATTGCTTTGGAGTGTAACACATCTAGGTTCTAATTCCAGTTTCTTCACATACTGGCTCTCTGATGGGGGCAAATAAGGCCCTCCTTGTCAGCTGTCTCAAGTAAATGGGTGTAATACCCATTTTGTGGGATAATGAGGATTAGCGATGGTGTGTGTAGAGCACCCGGCACTGTTGGTGGCACAAATGGTTAAGCACTCGACTGCGAGCCAAAAGGTTGGTGATTCAAACCCACCCAACAGTGCCTCGGAAAACAAGCCTGGTGATCTGCTTCCAAAAGGTCACAGCCTTGAAACCCTTAAGGAGTGGTTCTACTATGCACATGTGTGGTTGCCAAGAGTTGGAATTGACTCCATGACAACTAACAACGACAACAAACGCAAAAACCAAACCTACTGCCATTGAGTCATTCCGACTCACAGTGACCCTATAGGACAGAGTAGAACTGCCCCATAGGGCTTCCAAAGCTGGTGGATTCAAACTGCTGACCTTTTGGTTAGCAGCGGAACTCTTAACCACTGCGCCATCAGGGCACCACGACAAGTGCTCAATAAATGGTGGGTGTCATTATCTTGAAGGACTTGAGCATCTTACACTAGTAGTTAAGCATATGAGAAGAAAAGCAACCTAGCGTTAGCAAAAAATTTATCTCCCTTAAAATTTTTTCCCGTTACAACTGAAGTTCAAACAGCAAGTAACTACAGTCATCCTTGGCTTTTCTTGCATTTTTCTAGTTCACTTAGTGGGTCTCAGCCCTGACTGCACATTAGAACCTCTGGGGAGCTTGAAAAAATACTAATGCCTCGGTTCCATACTCAGGGATTCTGACTTAACTGATCTGGGGTGGAGCTCAATGAATGAATGGAAGGAAGAGAGGGAGGGAGGGAGGAAGTCAGGCAGGCAGGCCAGCCTTATGGTGATCTTAATGTGCGCCGAAGGTTGAGAATTACTGATGAGTAATTTTAGAATTCCTTAAACTTCTAGTAGGGTCTATTGCTCAGGGAAAGTATGAGGATTTCTTCTTACTAAAGATAGAAGCTGCAAGAACCTATGGAAACCAGAAATATATCAGCCCCTCCCACGTGTTTCTTCCTATGTCACAGCTCCTCAAGCTTCTCTCAGATGGTTACTGAAATGCTTTAGGCTTCACTTTAGAATCTATTTTCTTTTCTTTAGATTTTTTTTAATTGTACTTTAAATGAAGGTTTACAGAACAAACTAGTTTCTCATTAAAAAGTTAGTACACATATTGTTTTATGACATTGGTTAACAACCCCACGACATGTCAACACTCTCCCTTCTCGACCTTGGCTTTCCTATTACCAGCTTTCCTGTCTCCTCCTGCCTTCTAGTCCTTGTTCCTGGGCTGTTGTGCCTTAGTCTCGTTTTGTTTTATGGGCCTGTCTAATCTTTGGCTGAAGGGTAAACCTCAGGAGTGACTTCATTACTGAGCTAAAACGGTGACCGGGGGCCATATTCTCAGAGTTTCTTCAGTCTCTGTCAGGCAAGTAAGTCTTTTTTTTGTGAGTTATAATTTTGTTCTACATTTTTCTCCAGCTCTGTCCTGGACCCTGTATTGTGACCCTGTCAGAGCAGTCAGTGGTGGTAGCCGGGCACCATCTAGTTGTACTGGACTCGGTCTGGTGGAGGCTGTGGTAGTTGTCCGTTAGTCCTTTGGACTAATCTTTCCCTTGTATCTTGTTTTCTTCATTCTCCCTTGCTCCTGAAGGGGTGAGACTAGTGGAGTATCTTAGATAGCCGCTTACAGGCTTTTAAGACCCCAGTCACTACTCAACAAGGTAGAATGTAGAACATTTTCTTTCTAAACTACGTTATGCCAGTTGAGCTAGATGTTCCCCCAGACCGTGGTCCCCACAGCCCTCAGCCCAGCAATTCAGTCCCTCAGGGAGTTTGGATGTGTCTATGGAGCTTCCAAGACCTTGCTTTGTACAAGTTGTAGTGGCTTCCCCAGTACTGTGTACTGTCTTACCACCCCACCAGAGTTACCACTTATCTATTGTCTATTTAGTGTTTTTCCATCCCCACCCCTCCCCTCCCTCCTAACCATCAAAGATTTTTTCTGTTTGTGTGTAAAGATTTTCATGAGTTTTTACAGTAGTGGTCTCATACAATATTTGTCCTTTTGTGATTGACTTATTTCACTCAGCAAGCATAGTGCCTTCCAGATTCATCCATATTATGAGATGCTTCGCAGGTTAATCATTGTAGAACCTATTTTCTTTGCTGTGGCCCTTTGGACAGTTCTGCTTATAATAGTCTCCATTAAACATTTGGAAGAAAAATGCCGCTCAGTGGATCATTAATTTGATTTTGAAGTTCATCTACAAGTGTCAGTATAGGATGAAAGCTAGGGAAACATTTCTAAGTGCTGCTTCATTTTAAACATTAACCTCCCCTTGGTTTCTGGTTTTCAAAGCTGTTTCTGCTTGGGAAGAATATCCTTATTTCAGCAACAGCACTTTTTATTTAAAGGTGCTGGTAGTTTTTTCTCCCTACTCGTAGAAAGCCTGCTCTTTCTAACTTTAGGAGGGTAGAGTTTAATCTTTGATTTAATCCACTCCTTGTGCACTTGTACTTTTCTCTAGGAAAAAAAAATGCTTGGTGTCTGTTCATTGTATTTTGTTTTGTCCAATTATTCCTGGCTAGGGTTACTCCTATACATCAAATCCTTTTGGAATAAAACTATATATGTAAAAATAAGTAAAGTGGCATTTTTGACATGTTAAGCCTTAAAATAAATTAATTTTATATTTGACTTATATCATTTCCAACTTCTGGAATAAAGTATTTATGAGACATGCTACTAAGAGGCAGACTATATCAGGATCAAGGCTATTAATATTGCTGGGCTTAAACGTGCCTTAACATCCGGGTAATGTGTATTTAAAGTGTTCCTTTGGTATAAATCTGAAAATATTTCCTTTATGTGCACTTTAATAGAAACTTGAATAAATGTTTTTATTCTCAGATGATAATATTTCTTATTACTAGCATATTTTCTGGCCTCTTATATAATAATTTTTAAATGCTAGACATATATTGTATCTTTGCATCTGTTTTTATTGTTTTTCTATTAAAAACAAAATATTTATCTAAAAATATAGACAAATTAGCATCTTAGTTCATGGTGATTATTATCCCTAGTCCAAGAGTAATTCTATAGTTGAAACATTTTTATCTTTTAAAAGATATCCTGATGAGACAACATTTCCTTATAGATGAATAATTAGAACAGAATCCTTAGTATTTCTGTGATGTCACTGAGAAGAAACCCACTAAAGTATTATTTTCTACCATATACTGATATGTCCATCTGCTTAAAAAAAAAAGTTAAGAATGAAGGACTTTGGGCATACAGTGTAGCATGGCTCCTCATGGGCCAGACTGGGCAACTGTGTCAGCGTTCATCAATCCACCCTTTTGGTGATCGACTCTCCTTAGGAGACGAGCTGATCACATGGAATTCTTCCTGGTATAAAATCATCATTTGATCATCAAACATCAGTTGTATACTAGCTTTTAAGACCCTATTAAAATGCATTGGATAAAAACGAGCAATTATTATAGTGAAAAATCTCATCATTATATTTTAGAAAATTTGATGAAGTCAACTTCCTATTTGACCTAGCCTGTGCCAGGAGAATAGATTCCAGCTCTCAGATTGTCAAACTTATGAGAGTAATCAGTCTGTATCTGTAATTTTTTTTTAAAGATATTTTTCTTCTCGTTCTGAAGCGTTTACATAGAAACAACAGGAAATATTAGCCACAGCACAGATGCCTGATTGTGAGGACAGTAAGTATGGTAATGCTATATGATGGTCCATTACCATAACAGCAAGTGAATTAAAGCTCTTTTGCTGGGTCTTTATAGTGTGAACTGTCTCATTTACAATTTCAGCCATAGTAGGGGATAAGTTACTGATACATCTCTCCAATTCAGGGACTCTTAACCAAGGTTAAGGTGCCCTGGTGGCACAGTGGTTAAGCATTCAGTTGCTAACGAAAGGGTTGGCAGTTCAAATCCACCAGCTGCTCCTTGGAAACTCTATGGTGCAGTTCTACTCTGTCCTATAGGGTTGCTATGAGTTGGAATGGACTTGATGGCAATGGGTTTTTTTGTTTTTTTTTTTAACCAAAGTTAAAAACCCTCAGGCAATCAATAGACCCCTCTTACTCCTGGGAGGTCACTCCTACCGAGACCTCTGAAGAGACCCAGATGGTGAGACTGGTGAGGATTGAAAATCTTCAAAGGAGCTGGTGAGGAGTCCCAGGGAATAGTTTTGGGTATACATAGAGGTCACAGATAAAGAACAGACCTGGTGCTGCACAACTAATATGAACTGTATGTAAAGAGTTGAAAATGTACCTCTTTTGCCGTGAATTATTATGACAAATAATGGTAACTATTTTAGTTGACATTTTATATTCTGCTTTTCCTGAGCAATGACATTTTTCACAAGGAGTTACATTATGAGTGTGTGAGTTACTAATATATACGGTATTTCTACCATCAGGATAGTTGTATGGGATTTCTTGGTAATCTTGGTATTTTTATTTCCTTTGGTCATATTCACACTAGTTTCATGGGTTATGAAAGTACCATGGACATCCAGAATAATTTTAAAAGGTGATCAGGTTGGTTTTTCTGTGTAGATAAAATACTAGCTGTGTGTGATCCTATATAATTATAACGACTAGTCTTAAGTGTCAGGGTCTAGAGATATTACTGTATGTTCTAAAGTATGTAGGACATGCTCTGGTCATATACTTGACAGAGTTGTTTGCTACCATTAAACTGAAACATTGCATGATTTGAGTGACCCCTGAAGTTGAAAATGGCTAACAGGTCAGATCAGCAGATGAGGCTAATCGTCCAACTCATTCTTAGAAACAAGCTAGAGGAAAATATAGTTTGCTTCAAAAGAGGGAGGGAAAAAGGAAGAGAAGTAGAGTTATAGAGAAGGAAAACAATGGCCCATAGTTATGAATTAACAATCTTACCAGGATGTCAGTCAATTTGAGTGAGTGTAACAAAGTTCTTGTTTCATTGTCTTGGGTGGAAGTTGTCCTTTCTGAAGTTGTCTGCTTGATCTGAAGGTCTTGGGTAAGCTATTAGTGCCTTGAAGCCATCTGTTTCTAGAGGCTTTTG